TTGCTTGCATGTATGAAAGTGCACTGGTATTGTGAAATGCCCATAGAGGTCAGTAGAGGGTGTCAGATTCCCTGGAACTGTAGTTAAGGACGGTTGTTAGCCACCATGTGGGTGCTGGAAATCGAACTTGGGTCCTCTGCAAGAGCAGCCAGTGTTCTCTTAACCACTGAGCCACCTCTCCAGCCCCAAGACAGGGTCTTATATAACCTAGGCTGGCTTTAAATTCACTATATAGCCAAGAATAGCATTGAACTTCTGATCTTCCTGCCTCTACCTATACATCACCCAGTTTATGTTGTGCTGGGGATGGAACCCAGGCCTTCCTGAACACTAGGCAAGTACTCTACCAACTGAGCTACACTCCAGCCCTCTTTCTGCTCACATTTTGTCTTAGGCTCTAACACACACACACACACACACACACACACACACACACACCCCAAGTAGCACAGTAGTCAGTCCCCCTTTATCTGCTGTTTCATATTCTTTGATCTCAATTACCTATCCTCAACAGTGGTCTAAAATATTAAATGGGAAATTCCAGAAATAATTCATAAATTTTAAATAACCTTTATTATCATATATTTATAATTTGTTTTATTAATTCTTAATCTGTTGCCAAATTTATAAATTAAACCTTACCATAAGTGTGCATATATAACATAAAAGCAGTACACATGCAGTTCAGTTCTAGCCATTGTTTTTGGCTTCTGGTGGTCTTGAAATGTATTCCTTAGCGACCAGGGACACTGTATTAGGAACTCTCTCAATGAAAGGTTGGGAAAGAATAGATTTGTGAGGTATTGCCTCACTGGAATTGCTTATTCCTTACTTGAAGGTGGACTCGGATCTGCAGGAGTCTGTTAAGTGCCCTCAAACCCTGATTTGGGGAGTGAGGGTAGATGGCCCCAGAAAATACTGATTGGTGCCAGAGACTTCCAGAACCCTCTAGGACCTACCACTCTTCTAGCTGCTTACCCTTCCCCCTCTTGTGTTCCCAGTCCTCAGGACCCTTCCACATGTTTGTCCTTCCAGAGCCTTCTTAGAAAAAGTGAATGGTTGTTAGTATTCACTGATTAGATTGATAGATATAGATAGATAGATAGATATTATAGGTATGTAAATTTTTGATGGTACTCATTTGAACCCAGGACCTCACAGATGCTAAGCATATATTCTATCACTGAATAACACTTCCAGCCCTCTTTGGTTATTGTTTTCAGAGGTGTCTGTCTTTGAATTGAGGATGAGAGACTTTAATCCAAAGAAACTAATTGGGCAGAAAAATTTCCCCCAAAAGGTTATCCTGAAAGATGCCATGGGCCCTACTGAATCTCAGTCATTCATGAACCATGAACCATATGCATAGAATGCTCTTGGGAAGGCCCTCGTGGCTTGTAAAGCACTCAGCCAGCAAGCCTCTGCTGTGTTCCCAGCCTGCTTGCCGCCATGGCTCCCAATGCCGGAAGAGGCCTTTGTCTTACTGCTTCCCCCGTCTCCCCCTCCCCCCCCTTCCTCCTCTCACACCAGAGCACAGCCCTTGTCCAGGACCCCAGAAATGAAGAAGGTACAAATGTCTGAGAAGGGGTAACTGAAAGAGAGGGAGAAAGGATGATCAGGACTGGGCTGCCAAATCATGGGCATTGTGAACTTCAGCAGGAATAATCCAGATCTAAACTCCTGATTTTCAGCCTGAAGCAATTCTGCCCTCCAGGAGAACTTCTGGCTATGTCTGGAGACTTCTTCCTTGTCAGGACTGAGAGACTGTGCTATTGGATAGAGGATAGAGGCCAGGGATGCAGCTCAGCATCTTCAAATCCTCAATAGGGCAGACCCCTAAAAAAATCGGAACTGGTCTACCTGAAGGTGGGAGGAGGACCCCTCTTTGAATTTTAAGTGATTCCCAGTATGCTACCAGAGGGGTCCCTTTATTCTCTGATCACTAACTCTTGCCTCCCCAGTGCTGAGATGGGCAGTATGGGGCACCATCACACCCAGTTTATGTAGTGTTGAGAGTCCAGGGAAGGCTTGCTGTCACTCTTTATCAGCCGGTTAGTGGTAGATGCCGTTCTAAGCTGCATGTGACCAGTAGCCTCAGCACTCAGCAAATAACTCAGCACTAACCAACCATACTCCTAGTACAGCTGTAGAGACTACAAGTAGGTAGCAAACCCGTAACAATTTCAACACTTTCGGTGCAACAACTATAGCATTAATGTGTATTGGAAATTTGGTGGGCACTGTGCTTAGCATCCTTTGTGAATTGTATCCTTTAATATTGCACAACAACCAAACACAATTACTCAGTTTAAATAAATGACAGGGATGGTGCTAGAGCCAGGCTTCTGGCTTCTAGAGCTGAAACTCCTAGCCACTAAACTTCACTGGGAGAAGGACATCAGCAGCAGAAATAAATTCAGGGATCTGAATGTGGATTCCCTAAATTAAAAGAAAATTTACAGGAACTTGAATCCTGATGACCCAGTTTGATTCTTATTTCACAGTCTGTCTCGAAAGCTCCAAATTCCAGCTCAGGCAGTGGGTTTAAAGATCGGATCCAAACTGGGAGCACGAGTTTGCAGCCCCAACCCAGGTTCGAAGGAGCGGTTTTGCCCCAACTGCAGCCTCGGGGCTGACTCCCCACAAAACCCAGACTATTTATGCATTCAGGCCAGAGGCTGAAGTGTAAGGCTGTTGGGCAGAATCCTGTTGGGACGCAGATCACCGCGTTCCTGGAGGTGAGGGACGCTGAGCTACACAGCTCTGCGCCGCAAGGCGATCTCCTCACTTTCCAGTGCTGCGCATCAACAGGGTCTGGGGGACCCAACCTCACCGCTGCAAGCTGGGATGAGGCTTTTCTACTGCTCTCCAGAGCGGTCCACCAGAAAGCTGAAAGTCTAGCGTTCTGAACTAAGAGAGGAGGGAAACTGAAGCTCCAGGAAGGGGATCCCGAGAGAAAGAAACTTGGCTCCTGGGAGAACTCAGCCCGCGCGCGCGCGCGCGCGCTGGGGGTTCAGGTCCCGCTTCCGCTTCCTCCTGCAGCTAAGAATTGGAGGAACTCGGCTGTAGGATGCGGGGTGGAGGTGGGGAGCCAGGGGTCGGGACGGAGTTCAGCTCTTCTCTCTTAGTCTGGTCGCCCCCCATTGCAACTTGGCTCCCAGGCAGGTTTGAAAGTGAATTTCTGGTGGAGGGGCCTGTCATGGAATGAGGCTGTCCTCTGTTGGAAGCCAGGTGAAGGCCTGGCTCTAAGCGAGCCCTTCTAGCCCTTCGATCCCTTCGAAACCTTCCAGACCGCTCTCCACTGCGATCGTTGTTGCGGTCCACCGGCAAAGTCTAGCCAAAGGCACGCTGGTGGGTTTCGTGGAGGTGAAGGACTGACTCACAGCTACACTGTCGCTGTGTCAGCCTCGAAAGATCGCGAAAGTAACGCGATCATTCCTGCAACAAAAGTCAGTTGGTATTCTATTCACATACTTCCTGAGAGCCTTGGCGGCGTTTAGGTTGGCACAATGCCCCTTCCCAGGAGGCCAGAGAGCTAGTGCGAATGAGACCCGGTTTAGATGGATGCAAATGTGGGTAGCGCGCCTAGGCAAGCCTAGCAAAAGGAGTTCTTGAGCTCCCCGAAAGTGGGTTCTATTCTTGGGGTTCACCTCCAAAAGGCATCGCATCCTCACTCTCCTGCCCAACCCGGGAAAAACCAGAAGTGATTTGTCCTGGGCGCCTACCCTTGTCCTACCAGAACTAGAGAAAGCTTTAAAGGAGAAGACAGAAAGAAGACAGAAAGCATTAGAAACCCAGCTACAGCGACCTTTGTGCATTTGCTTTAGGTTGATAGAACGAGTTCCAGGTTCCACAGGGTGTGTTAGGGGAAGGGCGGATTTCTACCAGGAAAAGAAGCAGACCAGGCCTTCCACACTGAATGTGAGACCTGGATTCACAGTTTGCTGTGCTGGATATCCTGAACTGCAGATGCCTGGGCATCGTGTCTGTGCGCTCACAGTCTGGGCACAACTCCATACACCTCATCCACCACAGAGGGTATCAAAAACTCGCACAGGTCCCTAAGGAAGACTGGGGTGTAGATTCTAACCTGTGTAGCCACTGTGGGGGTTGTAATAGAATGGTTGAAAATGTGAGGTTCCAGAGCCATGTTCTCTGGCTCCATAGAGGGGCTTAGGGTGTGGAATGGCTCCAGGTCTTCAGACTTCTCACCTGGGACTGTGCACAGGGGGGCTTTCTCTAGAGAAGGCCCCACTATGTCCTAATGAATTTGTATCAATCTAAGCCTAGCAAAAGGAGTTCTTGAGCTCCCCCGAAGTGGGTTCTGTTCTTGGGGTTCACCACCAAAAGGCATTACATCCTTTACGAGAACCTGTGAAGATTTGGACCTGAGATTCAGCTTGTGGCCAGCCCTGGCGGCTCCACTCTGTGTGCTTGGGTGCCTGTGGAGCTGGTCACAGAGGAAAACTTGGGAAGTGCAGAGAGCACAACGTAGGGGTTCCAAGGGGCTGCGGATGTCCGAGTGAGACCCCTGTAGTTTCATTCCTGGAACACCCCAACAGAGTTCCGGTCCAGGTCCATGTCTGTCTAGGGTACAGCTTAGGCCTTGGAACCCAGAGGCAGAGGAATTTCTAAGAAAAAAAGTTTATTTAAAATTTTGTACATAAATAAATAAATAAATATCTTCTGGCATTACAGAGCGCATACAGTTACACAGCTGGGTCCCCGCGATGTGGAGGATGGGGAGAGGTTGCTTGGGGGTGAGAGGGCGTCTTCGTTTGAGGGAATGCAGAGCGAGTGGGAAACAAATTCAATCGGTTTCCCCAATATAATACCACGGGGAAATTTCTTCTGCTAGGAGAGAAACTGTGAGGACTTGGAACTGCAAGGCCTGGTCAAGGGACAAATGAACAGAACACTGAAGGAAGAGGCTCCCTGAGGAGAGGGAAAGGAAAAGAAAAAGGGCAAGTTAAGTTCATAAACTTGTTGGAAGGCGTGCATAAACGACCACTGAGAGGAAAAGCTGAGGACAAAAGAAAAAAAAAATTTAACGAGGAGCCAATAGCCACCCGCGAAGTGAAAGGCCAGCTTGACCGAGGTGGAGGAGGGTGGAGGGGGCAAGGAATCCTGAGCCTGCCCAGAGAGAGCAGGCGGGGAGGCGCTGGCGGCCAGCAAGGCGCTGGGGCCGGGTCTGCGTGCCTCCAGGGCTGTGGTGCCCTAGGAAGGAGGCCCCAACGCATTCCGGTTCACTGTTTAGACTTCTCCTGGACACCCCTGACACCTGGACACCTAGGGGACAGGGGCACTGTCTTCAAGTCTCTGTAGAGCCAGAGCTGGGTACCACCACAAAGCCGTACCAAATCGTGCAAGGCAGTCCTTTGGCAGCGGGTGTCTGGCAGCCAGTCTTTGAGACGCGGGAAGGTCGAGGGGCCAGTGGTCCTCTGAAACGCGCACCTACGGAGTGACTGTGAGATCCCTGTCATCCTTCCCCGAGGAGGACGGAGACATGGGCAATTCGTCGTCATCCTCCGAGCACTTGGCTGAGGAGAGCGACGAACACTTGCAGCCTTGCGGTGCAGCCCCGCCGGCTCCCGCACCCGCACCGCCGCCGCCGCCGCCACCGCGGTGATTGTTACCCTTGCCCTCTTTCTTGTGTTTCACTCGGCGGTTCTGAAACCAGATTTTCACCTGCTTCTCGGAAAGATTCAGGTAAGTCGCGATCTCGATGCGGCGGAGGCGGGACAGGTACATATTGGAGGCGAACTCCCGCTCCAGCTCGAGCAGCTGCGTGCTTGTAAACGCGGTTCTCATCCTCTTGCTGCTGGGCAGCTGGTTGGAGCCGCTATCTAGAGGGCGAGGTGTGGAGGGGAGAGAGAAGCAATCAGACTTGGGCGCGGTGGACCTAATTTCCTGCTGAGCCCCGACTCCCCTCGGCCTGGGACTCACACACCTCTTCCATGCCCCAAGATCTGCAGCAGCGTGACCTCGGGGCGCCTCTTTGCCAAGCCCCAGGATCTCTGATTCCCCCAGTATCATTTGTCCCTAGCATCCCTTTACTTCCTGAACCCGACCTCACCCCCGCCCCCAAGCGCCTTAGATCCACAATTTGGATCTTCAGCCCTCGCCCAGCTTTCTGGCGTCGTGCCCCAGCCGTCTAATACCCCACCATTCCGAGCGCCCCTCGCAGATCCCCAATAGGACCCTCACCGCCCCCACACCGCGGTTGTCCTCCATTCCCGGCTTGCCTACTTGCCTCCCGCCCGGGCTCACCCGTTCCTTATGTCGTGCGCTCGGCCTCTCTTACCCACAGAGATGCAGTGAAACTGCCTGGGGTCCGGCAGCGGATAGGAGGTCTGGTAGAGCGCGGCGGCAGCTGCGGCTGCGGCCGGGCTGTGGGCGACTCCGGGAGACACCGCCGAGTGCTGGCGGCCCAGCGGCGCGTGGCAGTACTGTGATCCGAAGGGTGGGAAGGAAGCCTTGAGCAACGGCAGCGCCGGCGGCCCCGGGGGCCCGTGCAGCTGCGAGGCGGTGACGCAGAGAGGGCACACGCACAGCAACCCGGCCTTGCGCGCGTGGCAGGCGCCTGGCGAGAGACCGTGCAGCGCGTGCGGCGGGGGCACCGCGTAGGGGAAGAGCGGCGGCGGGCTGCCCTCCGGAGCCTTCTTCTCGCTCGCTTCGCGCAGCACTAGGGAGTCCACCAGGAAAGAGCGCGGCATGGCCCCGGCGCGCGGCCGATCCGCCGCCAGCCCGCCTTCGGCGCTGGAGGAGAGTCCGGCCTCTCGGCTCGCTTCCCCCGGCCGCGGCCGCCCGCAGCAGCCTCCACCCCGGAGGCTCAAAGCGCCGCTGAAGCCCAGGCTGAAGTCACCTCCGCTGCTGCGGTTGCTGCGGGCGCAGCCCAGAAAGCGCGGGGTGCTGGCCAGCGCTAGTGGTGCTGAAAGGCGCCGGCGGCGCCGCTTAAATAGGACTATTGCCATGTGATGGGCTACGCCAGGAGCGGGCCGGGGCCTCTCAATAGGGTTTTTGTGCCCTTTCTCTTGGCATTCACTCTGCACGCTTCCTCATTATTTCACTTGTTAACTAAATGAACTGCATAATGTACTCCATTCTTGTCAACCCCACCCACGCCGTAACAGGCTCACTCGCCCCCTCCTCTCCCTTTTTCGGGTTTATTTTCTCATTCTCCCGCGATTTAATGTTCTTTTCTTTCTCTTTATTTCTTACTCCCGTTTGGCTTTGAGCTGGCGATTGACCCATTTATCTTATTGATTTTTGCACCCCTTCTGCCTCGCTTTCACAGATCCCCATGGATGCACACCCACCCCTTCTGCCCACTGGAGCTTGGTCCCCTTCTTTCTGTTACACCCCTCTTCCGAAGTATATTGCTTTCATTCGGTTCTCCCAGCTCAATCCTGAATCCCACGAGTGTTCTTGCAGCCGGCCACCATTTCCACCTGTGGAGTCCCTTCTCTGCCTATGTTGGAGTACCAGAACAGGATTACTGGGTGGGAAGGTTCCTCTGTGTAGAAAGACTCACTGATCCTCTTTAGAACAAGCCCTGTCGCTGTCCCTCTGTTTTCTCTGAGTTTCTCAAATGGTCTCACCTTTGGTGTTTCCTACAGTGGATGCCTTTCTCTTCGGTGGCTCCTGGCCCTATCTTCAACAACAGGGATGTGAATGTAAAGGGGGGAGGGGGGAGGGGGAGGTACAGAGTGGGGGAAGGTGTGTGGTGTCTGAAAGTCATGGACAGATACAGGGTATGGGGAATGAAAGGCAAATCGTGCATACAGTGATCTAGCACCCCACTTAATGTGGCAAATGTGGATGTTCTCTGCCTGCAAGGAAGCTATCTTTCCAGCACTCTGTTGCCTCGTGTGCACTACACTAGACTCCCCGGCCATGGCTGGACAAGAGCGAAGAACAGCTGTCTTTCCAGTTTTGGTTGCCTTTGCTTTTTCTTCCTGTCCTGTCACTCTTCTTTCCGGTCACACAATGGTTAAACAACTTCAAATGGCCGGCTCTATGTACACAGCTTGTTTTTAAAAATCACCCTAGGACTCAGAGCTGTTTTGGGTGCATTTTTTTTTCCACACACTGGAAATCAGCATAAATATTTCGAATTTACAGCCTGGAACTTTTCGCCAAAGGTTTACTTTCGATTTTATTAGAACCAAATTACTGCAGTCACCTGCTCTGAGCCTTGAATGGAATTGTGAGAAATGGAAGGGGGAGCTTTCCGGAGGGGGTGGAGGGAACTGGTGCTAGGGCATAGGCTGCCCCAACCCGCAGCATCTGCATGGGTTAACAGCAACCTCAAGTAACTAATTAAAAAGCAAAGATAATCTGTTATGGGAGAGACAAGGGTGGGAGCAACTGCTTGCACAAAAGGGAGAGACGCAGTCCGGGAACCCGCGTGAAGGGGATACCGTCGAGCCAGAGTAAGGAGTCAAAGCTACTTGGGTTCCTGGGCATGGGGTGCCCTCAAGCCGTGGTCTTGGCCCCAAAGCTCCTGCAAACCAGCCGGTACGCATCAATGCAGTCTAATTCCCGTTCTAATTGCTCTCTGGGAAATTTGGGCTCGGCTGCACTGCGGAGAGCTGGGACCTGAGAGGGGCTTCCCGCTGGTCTGAGGGGGGCTAGAAAGAAGGCGGCCGGAGCTAGAGGGGGCAGCCGCTGCGCCCCAGAGCTGGCAGCCCGGGAAATGCCAGTGCCAGGCCCTCCTGGGAGCCGCCCAGCGCTCTAGGCGAGGAAGGGGTTAAGAGCCCTCAAAGCTACTGGGAAAGAATATAGAGAGGTGGGGGGGAATAACCAGTTTCCCCCTCTCCCTCCAGCCTCTAGACCTTATTGAATGTCATTGAAGAAAGTTTTGAATGCCAGATAAAGAGAGGCGAATTAAAGTGTGTGACAGCAGAGGATAAGCAAACACAAAGAGAACTCTGTCACACTTTGGGGCAAAATCCGTGGGCTTTTTACCAAGTCTCTTCGCTATGATTGAATTAAGTAATAGGAAAACATTTTCTTTCAGTTTAGAGCCATTAGACAAAAACTTCAAAGCGAATAACACTTTTTAATGTGCGGCCCCACAGTGGACCGGGTTTTGTGCCGAGATGTTTAAACGGTTTGTTGTGCAACTTGGCGCGGGAGAGCCCGGCGAAGGCAGAGTCGCATCCCTGGGTGTTTTCGCGCGGCCGGGGGAGAACGCACTGGCCATTCACCCTCGCTAAACACCACGCTGGCCAGGGGCTCCCGGCACCCGAGCTGCCGCCGCCCTACACTTCCACCGCATCGGGAGAAAAAGTTACGTGCTTGGGAGAAGCGCGAGGCGACGGCTTCGGCTGCCAGGCTCGCGCCCTGGGGTGCCAAGCGCACAGCCCCCTGCTGTCCCTCTCCGCTGTCCGCCCCTGCCCTCGCTCTGCTGCAGCCTGCCTTTCCCGGCCTCCTCGCCGGGTCTTTCCCGCGCTACTTTTCTGCTCAAAGCGCCTCCGGAGGGGCTGGCTTATGGGGTGTTTAAACTTTCCTTGGTGGAGCAAACGCCCCTTAAGGAGGGGCAGGGAGGGAGCAGGCGGTGGGATTAGCCTGACGGCCCGCCACAGCGTTCCAGGAGCCCCTGGCCAGGCCCCGAGCGTCTGCTCCCCCGCCCCTAACGGGTTTTCAAGTGTCCATCAGGGACAGCTCAAAGTGGAATCATTTCTGCATTCTCGGGCTTTTCTCCCTTTTGCACACGGCACAGAAGGCACACTACTCTTCTGGAATCCTGAATCTAATCTAATGGGAGCAAAAACTGCACAAATGGGGTGTAGGTGATGGTTAGTTCCTTGACTTTTTGTCTTTCTTACCACCCCTCAAATGCAGGCTCCCGGAGACTCAACGTCTGGTCTATCTCATCCTTTGTTGAATCTCTGCTCAGAAAAGTTCCTGGCACATACAACAGTGCTTAATATACATTTGTTGGATGAATAAATAAATGAGAGAACTCAAAAAGTGGGACAGCTTAGAATTTACTGGTTGCCTGCTTAATTCCAGCTGGGCATCTAGGAGCCTGGCTGGGGTAACTGACATGGTGAGACCATGTCCCTCTTCTTCCCTCGAGGCTTGGAGCATCATAGGAGCTCATGTTGTGACTTGAGCTCATTATGGGCTTGTTGACTGATGTCAGACAAGTCAATCAATCTGTGGACGCCAAGTCAGGTTATCATAGAGACAAACAAGTTCCATTCAAGGCAATTCCAGTGTCCTGCTCTAGAAATGGGAGCAATGCATGCATTCAAGGCTGTCATCAGGTCTTTCCTGTTATACAGGAGGACAGAGGAGGGGGTTAAGGGGAGGAATACTTAACACTGTGGATGTTTGAAAAAGTCATATGAAAACCTTTATAAATTTCATATATGTATGTATGCATACAAATATTCACATAAAAGAGTTTAATTGGAGTTACCATACATGGGAATAATGCTCATCCCGGAAGGCATAGGTTGTCAAATAAAAGCCCTGTGCCAGGTATGGGATACTTCCCATTGAATTCTTACTCAGGGGTGTCTCAGAGACTTCTAAAACAATACAGGCTACTGCCACTGATCTTGGTTGCCCACCAAACCTTGATGGTAAGATCCTGTTGCTGAAGACAGCATCCACATTGGCCATAGGACATGGAGAAACCAAGTTGGTATTGACCAGGAAGTTTCCTCCCTCTTGGCTAACATTCATAGTACTGGAAGGTACTATGAGGGCTGCTGGGGAAAAAACCATCAAGTCTTACCCAGCTATGAACCCTGTGAACTATAATGATGACTGGTGTGGCAAGGTATTCCCAGGGATGCAATAGTGGCATGATTGTTATGCGGGCAACCAACTACTTTCTGATTGGATTTAAGGTCCCACTCTGCATAAGGAAGCACATATCCAGTACTGTAAATCTGGCCAAGAACCCAGAGAGGAGCCCAGAGGCCCCAGGGGTGAACCTGCTACTATTATACTGCTAAATGGACATAATATCAAACTGCCCTCTAAATTCTTATGTTTACCATTAGATTAGTGCAGCTCTCAGATCTCACCAGAGAAGTTTCTTTGTGCAGCGAATGACAGTTAATACAGAAACTCATAACTGGTCAAAGTGTAGAGAATAAGTGTCTGTGGAGTGCTCAGCCACAGATGGGACATGTATATAAGACACCTCCCCAAGGCTCAGGCAGCATCACAGAAGAGGGGATGGAAAGACTCTAAGAGCCAGAGGTCAGATAGGACCAGAGTGAAACAATGTCTTCTGGACAAGACAGGACAGCTGTTCTTATGAGCTCACAGCAGCTGTGGCTGCCTACATAAGACCTGCACAAGATCCAGCCAGTCAATATTCTAGCACAGAGTAGAAACAGGTTCATGAGGCGCAATTCCTAGCTGAGGAACTATTGATAGTCGATGCTTCCTGGGATGGGGAGAGTCAGTTTTCTTTAAGGGTATAGCTCTTGATAGGTTAACCATGCTCCAGTGAATGGCCCCATGCCCAGGAGTATGTGGGTAGCACAAATTAGAAAACCAACAAGCTCTTTTTTTCTTTTTCTTTTACTTATTTTTTTAAATTTTTATTTTATGTGTATGCATGTATTGCCTGCATGTAGGTAAGTGCACCTGTGTCACACAATGCCTGAGGAGAACAGAAGAGACTGTTAGATTCCCTGGAACTGGAGTTATGGACAGTTGTTAGCTGCCATGTGGGTGCTGGGATTCAAACCCAGGTCTTCTACAAGACCAGTCAGTGTTCTTAACTGCTGAGCCATCTCTCCAGTCCCAAGTTCTTTTTTTAAAAAGAGGACACCCAAAGTTGGGGAGGGGGTAGGAAGATGGAGTGGATCTGGGAGGAGGTAGGGGGAGGATTGGGGG